CGTTCGTTGTTAGATCTGAGTTTTCTTTTTAACTGCTCAGTTCTCTCCTCTTCTTCATGAGAGTAGAAATATTATGCAAGTGATGTTTCTGCTTGATATTCTGATACTGAAAAAATGATATTGCCAAGGTAATTGGATAATATGATTTTCTTGAAAACATTAAACAGCTTTATCACAAGTATGTCAATCTTAATGCCATTAATCCTCCAAGGCAGCAGTTACTGTGCATATGCACTTGCATGCAGCATAGTAGGTGACCTTGCAAGATATAATATCAGCCTTTCAAACATAGCAAGAGCCTGTGGGAAAATTTGTACAGATCTCCTGACTAAAAAACAGAATAAAAGAGCTGGAGGTGCACTTTTCCCAGCATTTTTCCAGACTAACAGAAAGCAAGGCACTACAGTACGTTTAGTACCATATGTGTAGAAACAGAACACAGGAAACTGCGTGACCAATTTTATTTTCCTGATTTGTAGTTTTGAGAGGGCTTGGTGTGTCATTTCTTTCCCATGATATGAAACACTGTACTGTGACAGTAAATTGCATTGGCTACTGTGAGCTGTTACAGCCATTCCTATTAGGCACCAAAGAAAGAAGCTCTGAAAATCAGGTCACTTGTTTTAGTACGTATGGCTTTAGGCGTTTACCTATAGGCACAGAAGTGTTAAAATGTTGACATTATATTATCTTCCCCCATTCTCTAAACAGAAAAATGGGGATGAAAATAGTCATGCTGAGTTTGAAGGGTTGTGTGTCCTGCTCAAGTAATACACAGACAATGCTCTGAGATCCCTTCATAAAAAGTATCATAATAGCTATTAACAGAGAAAACAAACATCCAGTACTTCTAAAGAATGTTTTTACCTTGCAAGTGCTCTCTACTAGTTTCACCATTTCTTACTTACTGTTCACTTCTACTCTTCTCTTCTGAAAACAGGATTTCCTAGTCTTGTGAAACTGAAGTAAGGTAGAGGGGAGTTGGACCCAAATTTCTTTTCCTAATACTCTCTTAAATATTGAAACCATTCTGACAAAACCAGAAATCACTCAAATATCTGCAAGGAAACTAAGCACACTGTTTCACGAAAGAGAAAGTACTATAGCTGATACCACCCCTTTTTAATCAAATATCCAAAACGTTCTTTTACTGCAGCTTTGTCTGTGCAGGTAGGACAGTTTGTACAACCCTCAGAGTTCCTCGATGCCTAAACTGAAATCAGAAGTGCATCTGGGTTGATATTTTAGGCTGTTCTCCAAATCATGGTGGTTTTCCTAACCGCAGCTGTCCTTTTTTCTTTGGCACATAGAGTGTTTACCCTTAAAACAGTAGCATGGTAATGAAACTTGGACTGGATTTGTATTATTTTCATTGGTTTTGCACATGCAAGTTCCAGTACCCAAAACAAGAACAGCCAGTGGGTCTGTGGCACTCCCTGAGACTCCTTTGACCCCGGTCTCTGTGTGAACAGCTCAGCTTTTTCCTGCAACCAGGGTGTTTAAACGCAGAAGAGGTATTAATAAGAGCGTGTGTTGTTTGTCATAAATTACCCTACTTCTCGGAGCAAGCAGAGCTCAAACAGGGGCTTCCTAGTGATCACCTCATACAAACAGCGCAGCAGAGCAATGCTTTCAAAGCTCCTCACGATACATTTCCATCTGCAGTATTTGCATCTGTAAATAGTAAGTTTTGTGGCAAATTCATTGCAACCAGCTTTCAAAATTTGGTCTGTCATATTTAAATCCTTCTGAGCAGCTTTGGGATGAAAGGCACTGTACTTACCTATGGTACAACTGGAGAATTTCAGAGTCACGATGCCACAGCCACTCTGTCTCATCTATACTGCAGCTATGAACTAGAGCATTAAATTTAACAGTATATGTATTATTTAATAAAACTACAGGTGTTCAGCTTGCCTGAATTATGAGTGCTGCGTGAGCATTATGACTTTAAATCTTCTGACTTTTACTTAGTTAAAGACACCAACCTTAATGTTATATTACCATAAGATATTTTATTTAGTGTATTAATGGATTCATTCCCTTTTTTATTTTAATAAGAAAAACATAGATCCTTAACTTAAGCATGGTAAGTAAAATATTAAACAGATAGAAGAGTATGTCCTCTGAGGTTTCACCGATACTTTACATAGTCTTACTTAGATATTTAATATCATCCTTAAAAGTGACTGGAAATACACTTTTAAAGCTTTTAAAGCTCTGGCTGAAGTCCCAGCATTTCATCATCTTTCTTGAACATGAGTAATTTGAAAAATCAAGGTTTTCCAGTTTTCCAGACAACAAGCAGGAGCTGTAGGTTCATAACTGTGTATGAGAGATGTGAATACAGACTGCATTTACTGCATTTTCTTTTTTCTTTTTTTTTTTTTTTAACTAATCCTATAGCCCTGGAACCAATGCAAGAATCAGAGCTGAAAAAAAGATTATTCTCTATCTTTTCTAAGTGTGCTGGAAGAGGAGTGTAAAATGACCCATATTCCTGTATGTCACGAATGAAAAATCAAAACCACTACCATGTACTACATTCATCTGCAGTTACATATGTATACATACAAGGAATAGGCCTCAATAACTTCCCATCTTTGGAGTCTAGGCATAAATTTAAAAGCCACAGAAACATTGCTTATGTTTTTTTCATTTGAAATGGAAATTTATCGGGGCCTTATTCTGTTCTTCCAATGGGTTTTCTTAATATTTAATACTTTCTGTTTCTACTACTCTAGTCCTTAATTAGAGTCTTCCCCTTTGTTAAAAGAAGGATATTTTAAACTATATTTAAGTGTTTTTATTTATTTACTTCCTATAGGTATGCAATTCTGCATGCCATTGTTCATTAAGAAAACTGGACATAGAAATATTTCCCTGCTTTAAGAAACTTACATTCTTGAAGCCCGGGGAAATACAAACTAAAAAAAGAGAGAAGGAAAGAAGGAAAGGAAGACAAGCAACAAACTGTACATGTGGAAGTGGAAGCAGGATCATTAAGCACAAGGTATTTAAAAAACACAGAATGATGGTTAAAAAAGGCACAAGGAAGGAATTGGTTAAAGACAACAAGGAGCAGCCAGGAAGGAAGTCTGAGTCCTAAGGAGGAAAACTGAGTCATAAAAAGAAATGTTGATACAGCTATAAGTACACTTCTAGGATTAATTCTTGAGTCCACTGAGGAAAATGTCAGCACTCCCAGTGAGTTTGTCAGGGCCAGCCTTGACCAAAAGAGATTTAGGGGAAGAAAGAGAGCTTAGATTTAGCTCAGGAGAAAACAAGCACTTTCTTGAGTCTAGAAGTTCAAAAGTGGCCATACATCATAATGTCAGTAGCAGGAAAAAAAGACCCAATGAGGAAGAAAGTTGGTGACGTCTGTTGGGCTTGAAATCAGAATGAAACAAAGGAATGGCTTAGCTTATGAATGCTTTAGTTAATTAATTATAATCAGCAATAATCCCATGAATGCTTCAGACCATTAAATACCTTTGTTCCTTTGTTTAGCACAGTGGTTTTGGATTACAGTTTACAGCAACATAGTCTGATTTTATGCCATAGAATTTGACCTACGTTGACAGTAACATTTGTGGATTCAGGCTTACGTTTGTAGTGGGAATCAACAGCAAGGTTGTAAGCAAACAGTCCAGTATTTCAGTTTTGGTTGTCTAAACAAACTGGCATGTAAATGCTTGTGGTTGAAGTTTAAAAGCAATAGATACACAAGATACTTAGCAGAAGTTAAATATTGTCAGAGAACAAACTCTTCATAGAAAAGAAACAGTGATTATCCTGGTAGATGCTAGTATTCATAAGCTGTAGGACAAATTTTAGCACCGTAGATTTGATATTGTCTGTTTAATATAGTTTGTAATGGTTTCGGGGTATTGCATCCGTAGCTTGCCTTATATAATTGATTCAGTAAGAATACTCAGAAAAGTAGGAAACCAAAGAGTACATTGACAACTATTTTTATTTTAAAACTTGCACATAGTATTTTTTAACTAAAAACTGCTTTTACAGTTTCACCTGTACTATAAAAATGGGAGTTCTGCAAAATAACTTCAAGACAACTCCTTCAGGAAGCCTGCTCTGCTGCATATTGTTTCCACTATTACAGGGACGGGTGTGGTTTTATGACGGGTGAAAAAGATTATCAGAAGCTGCAAGAGCAGAGGAAGGGAGGAAACGGGCACGAGGACCATCTCTCTTCTGTCCCAAAAATCTTCTGAGCACACACTGCCAGTGTTCCCTACCTCCACAGCAAAAGTTGCATGACAGTTACTTCAGATCAAGAGAAATCATGAACATGTAGAAGAAGACAAAGAGAAAAAAGACAAAGAAGGGAATAAAAGAGGTGTATGACTTGGACACTCAGACTAGCATAACTCAAAAGAAGGATTCCTGCAAGCTAACCAGTGTCCATTAGCACCAAGTATGTTACAGAATCATTAGTAACCATTTCACAGTTACAGACCTACTTTTGTGATGCTTAGTAGGCAGCTAAACTGCTTAGGAATATGTCTTAAACCAAAGTCAATCTGGTGAGTGCAGGGCCATGCATGGGCGATCTGAACACATTTTAATTCAGGGATCCATATTTTATCTCTAGTGCCTTGTCAGATGTATTGGAGATGGTGAGCTGAACCAAGAATACCATTATCTGGTTTGTAAATCCTTTTAATGAAAGCAGTAGTCACCAGGAACAGTTTTATCTAAACTATACTAGACCTAATTGAGGCTCCTGTGTTAGCTTCATATTTGCTATAAACTTCCCAGGTAACTAGTGGAAAATAACAGACAACTCCAGAGGTGCTTGTGACTCTACAGAGAGATGAGTGGGCCCGTGCTCCAAAGAGCAACCCACAGCTGAGGCTGGGCCCTTGTCCATGGGAATTTGTGTTATGGCTCTATTGTGGTTTAGTACGTGCAAATCTTGCTATGCGATTACATCAGGGAAAAGTGTACTAATAAGGGAATTATATTTACAACTGCAGGTTCCTCAAGATGAATGGACTGGGTACACTCCACGAGGGAAAGATGATGAGATTCCCTGCCGGCGAATGCGGAGCGGCAGTTACATTAAAGCCATGGGGGATGATGACAGTGGAGACTCGGACACAAGTCCGAAGCCATCTCCAAAGATTGCGGCACGAAGAGAGAGCTATCTCAAGGCCACCCAGCCATCCCTTACAGAGCTCACCACCCTCAAGTGAGTCAGTGTTTTACGGCATCATCTAGGAGTCCCCATTAAGACATAGATTTTTCTTTTCTTATTTGTTTCTGTCTTTTTTCATTTCTATATACCAAACAACTGTGTTCAGTCACGCTTATTTTTAGTATGGGATCTTCTGAAGAAAGGTAGATTTGGGCATATGTTTCAATGTTGTCCTGAAAAGGGACCCTTCTACCTATACTTTGAATTTGTTAAGTGTTTCAACCTGTTAGTGTTAAGTGAAACCATTCAGGTATATAAAATAGGTCTGTTCTTTAAATAGTTGACAGAGTTATAGCTTAGGACTGCATAAGCTTTACGTAATTGTGTGTTCATATATACGCAACATGAAGAGCACATGTGAAATTAGCCTACAGCTAGTCTTTGAAACTCATCAGAGAGAATCTGACATGTAATTAAAAAGAACAATGACTCTCTGAAAAGAGACAAATACAGATTTGTTTTTCTTTTCCACTCTTTCATTCACTCAGAATTGCACTGCTTTTTGTGGAAAGTTATAACCAAAAATTAACGATCATTTATGAGAGCTTTGGTCAACAGGAATGATGAATTTAGGGTTTTTTATGACAGTTTGTATTTTGTTTTGCTAAAGCCTTTTAAAAGAGCCCAAAATCTCAAGAAAATTGCAAGAACTGACAACTTTGGAATTAGCACTTTTTAAAATGATTCTAAAATGGAGAGCTCCCTAAAACAATGGAATAAATTTTATCCATAAAAGAAAAGAGTGTGAATTTAATTCAACAATTGTTTCTGTGTGTCTTCTGCAAAATTGCATCGCTGTAGTAGTGAATCATAGTTCACTGAACCAAAAATAACCTAATTTTAGTATAAGTTGCCTGAGGCTGTAGCTTTAAAACAGAAAAAAAAACAAAAACAAACTGCACCTCGTCTAATATCCACGATTAGTGACAAAATAATCCTTCTGCATTTCTTCATTAATTTCCTCTCCTTCCTTGTCCTCCTCTACCCCATATTTTCCCAGAGTCCTTATCTGAGAAGTAGACTGTAGAGAAAGGTGTTTGATCCTCGTTAAGATTGTCATGCTTTTGACATCAGTGATGATTAGAGCAGAAGACAAGAACATGCTTATCACAACTCCCCATAGCAGCCTGTCTGACTTTGTCTCAGGAGAAGCCAGGAATTGCTTCTGCTCTGTCCTTTCATAAGTTTCCAAAGAAGAAAGCGGTCTCATTTCCTGCAGAGATTTTTATAATTTTGCTGAAGGTTGCTTAAGGGATCGAATGATTCCTCTCGGCATCCCACAGTCTTGACCACATCCTTTCCTGAGCCAAAACTCCTCCTCTGAGAACAGTTCTGGCAACTTATGCAGAGTCATCTGGAAAGGTGAACATGAATGTTACTCACCACCACAATCTCCACAAAGCCATCAGGTGCGGAGCTTGTTCTTGCTGAAATTTAAGAAACATCTGTTCTGTAGTTCTATAATATATATGTGAAGCAAAATACTTCACAGTGAGTGTATTTGCTCTTGGACATACCTTCATTTCTGTTCTCTGTAGACTTGAGATTTGCAACAGAATATTGAATTATTAAAAATAAAAAGTCCTGCGTATCACTGCTCACCCACAGAGGATGTTAGTTAGATCAGAGGGACTAGGCAGCAGAAGCTTGGGGTTTAGCTTTGAAGTCATTGTAATTCACCAAAGTACTTGTGTGAGTACTTCATTTTACGTATGTTTCTTAAATCCCTTCCTATTCAGGAAAGCTTTTAGGAATATGCTTAATTTTAAGCTTCACTTAGTAAAATTCATTTAAGCTTAGGAGCTGTGTAGAAAGAGGATGTAAAGCATAGAGTAGTGGAAGGACGGGGAAAAGAGTAAAACAAAAAAGAGGACAAAATATAAAATTTTCAAAATTTTCTTTTTCCGTGACTTCTCAGCATGAATTGGCATGAAGTGGAATTATTTCTTACAGTCTAGGATAATACTTTGAATACTCTTGCTGGGAAACCTTTCCACTTTCAGAGCTGATTTGTATGAATGTAATTATGCATTGCCTTTCTTCCTTTCTGCTGAACATGATAATGTTTTTTGGTGAGAAGTAGCCAAAGGCTCACTGGGAATTGAAGTCTTCTGTTAAGCTAGGTCTTCTGCTAAGTACAGCTTAGGCCTGTAAAAAGGCTATGCAGACTTCTTCGTACCTTAGTGGCATGACTTGACCTTGACCTAGAGAGGATTGCTTATTTGTCTTACAGCTACCCTGATTCCTCTGAGAGCTGTGACAGAGTTTTGCTGCCATGTCAGCCAGAGACTGAAGTAGGGCCTCTAACTCACTGAATATAGGCCATCAAGCAATTGTCGAATGTGTGATAACAGTTATTTCCTTGACTTACTGTTGACTTGAGCTCAATTTGCACCTGAATAAGGACATGATGGAAATGAGCCACAAGTCATTTTAGTAAGGAGAAAGCCTTTTACTGAGCTAGTGGACTTAATGTCCAGACTTAATGTGGACTTAATGTCTGACCTTACAGGACACCATTAACACCTTAAAGCTGCGTGATAGTCAGTTCTTTAATTGTGGGGGGGTTGTTTTGTTTTGTTTTGTTTTTTGTCAGTGAAGCACAAGGTTCCTCGTTCGGTGTTTCTAAAAAAAGAAATCCGTGTTTCTAAAGAAACAGCAGTGGTTATTGTCAGAGATCTTCTGCACTTTCTGCTGCTCGCTCTCTCTGTTTTCTACTATGCAGTCTCGAGTGTGGAAGGTAGTTGGCTTTACTTTCATCTTTGACAGGAAAACAGCTTAAAATGTGTCTTCTTTTGCTTTCACTGTTGTTTTTGGAGAGATTTTTCATCTTGTAGGACTTTTCCTCTCTAAGTACTTTAAGTCTAATATTGGTCTCACAACCCACGCCCTCCCTCCCACCTACCTACCTCTCAGTGCTCATGCACCTACTCTTCTAAGAAAGGGTTTTTCTTTTATTATCGGTGTTTCTTTTTATATAAAGAATAACTACTGAACAGCACAACTGTGTCATATACCCTTTACGTAATGCAAAATTATTTTCCTGTTTTTGCTGAGTTTTTTTCTTGCTATACCTCACAATCTACCTCCTACAGTATTCCTCCCATGCCGTGGTTTCCATGTGATTACAGAACATGTTTCAAATGCTGTGGGCACCACTCTGAATAAAGCACAGCTTGCTGTGATCTTGAAATCCACACCTCCGCTGCTGCACTCTCATTATCCTACCAGGAAGTGAGCAGCGTTTTCTTTCTCTCTCTCTCTCTCTTTGCTGGCAGTGTCTTCTTGGTGTTTAATCTTTCAGTCTAGATAAACTGATCCAGCTGAAACAAGTGGTATTTTCTTGCTCATTCCTAAAAAGTGGCAAAAATTTTTCCTAAAAAGTGGTGAAAGTTTATGTTGCATTCTTAAGCAGATAGAAACAGGACTGGTTAATTTCGTCTGAGCAGTAACTTGTGGAGGTCAGGCAGGAGGCACTATGCCCTCATGGGCATATCCATTTGAGCTGTTTGGTGGGACGGTAAAGTGCTTCATCTGCCTGCAAAAAATGAATGCTGTAACTACATAACATCTGTATTCAGACATGAAAAACATGAGGAAACATGTTGATGCTAAGACTGATGTGAATGAAAGGATGAGAAAAGGTCAAAAAGCTTTTTAAAGACACAGCAAGTGACATATTTCACGGCCAGGATATTATTAAATGTTATGCACAAGGCTGGAGGTCATTCTGGCTTTGATTTTGCTACAGCGATGCAACCTATGCCTTTGTACACATAGATATGTTCACAGCTTCACAAACTGATAGAGTTAGCTCTTAGGAAACTGTGGAATAAGGTAAATTTTAGAGATGGTTCTCCCGTGTTGTCAGCTTTTCTAAATCGCTGCTCTTGAGAGGTATCTGCGCTGTGGACAGTGATACAGAAGGCAGCGATAAATATAGCCTGGTGCACTGGCTAGGCTGCCTCTGGCGTTTGGGCAAATTGAAGCTGGCTCTGATGTCCTTATGTTGGACTTCAGCGTACAGCATTGTGTACGTCCTTAGGTATGGAAAACATCTTTATTTTAGGAATGAAGTCCCATATTTTTTAATGTCCTTATGTATTATTATAACATGCTCCAGAAAAGGGTGTCACATAAACAAAAATATACTTTTTTTTAAAATGGAGATGCTGTCCTCATTCTGCTAAAATTAATGAAAATGTCACATTATCTTCACTGACCCAGATCACACCTGGGGGAGGGGAGAGGCAAAATTTAAAGGTGATGAAAATGTCTCCATCTTCCTTTGGTGAATATTTTTAGACACATGCAGGGAAGCTTGTTAATTTTCTTTCTTGTTGAGTGACTTCCAATTAGGGAACAATAAGTTTCCTAATTAGTACAAGAGGAATAAGTCTGATGAGTCTTTTATTATTAGTGTTTTACAGTATGTTTCCAGCGCAGTGTGTTTCGTTGTTTCATGTTCCAGTCTGTTTCATTTTGATCAAACCTTCAGCTAATGAAAGAATTGTTCTCTTTTTCCTTGAGGTGTTTTTTTGTTTGTTTATTTGAAGGGGTTTTTTTCTTCTGGATTTCCAGTGAGAGAGACTGGTGCATCTCAGTGATTTTTGAATATGCAGCTGAAAGAATAGTATTCTAGAGCTATTGCTGGCCTGTATAATAACTTTGCCAGCCTGCAGTCACTAACACATGATCTATTACTTAGCTTTTTGTTCCTATTATTATGATCTGTTCTCTCTGAAAGCTGGGAGAGGCTGTTGGCCAAGTTTCTCACTTTTCAGACTCATGTGTCTAGCATGATTAAGGTCAGTGGATGATTTATAAGTCAAAAGAAAATTTGAAGGCAATAAAAACTGTTTCAAAGCAGTAGGTGGGCACAGCTCTGGAGTTTTCTCCTGGCAGCTCTCATCAGTTTTGTGTATGTGATATTTAAGGAGCAGAGGATATTGATTTATTGCAGGAACTTAGAGCAAGACAGCTTTGGCAATAGG